ACAGACAGACAGACAGACAGACAGACAGACAGACAGACAGACAGACATATAGATAGATAGACAGATAGATAGATAGATAGATTAGATAGATAGATAGATAGATAGATAGATAGATAGATAGATAGATAGATAGATAGATAGATAGATAAAATATACTGCTTTTGTATGACAACTCAATAATCATTAAGCTTGTATAACCATGTATTGGGCTTATGTTTAAAGTTAATTTTAATTTAAGAAACTGTCAAGTATATTAATCCACTACTACTTATGCACTTTTCACTTGTTGATTGTGAACAGGTTGGGTTTAGATTGGTGAAAATGTACAAATTTGCACTGTTCGAGTGTTGTCATTGTGTTAGAGAGATTAAATAACATGAATAAATTTGACATTAAACATAATCCAAGTTGAAGTGTTACATCATTTTCAGCCCCTTTTTGGCATCTACATTTGGTAGCAGGCCAAACTGACAAAGACCATGCAGGATAATGTAGTATTTTAATTCCACAGCAGAGAAAGTTATGTAGTATCTGTAAGTAGGTCTAGGGGAAAAAAAAAAAAATCAACCTTGGTATCGGCCATCGGCCAAATAAGTTATCATATTGGCTTATCGGATATCAGCCAAAAATCCAATATTGTGCATCCCTGTCTTTAAGTATTAAGTCAGAATTATTGTTTGTTTCCTGTGACTATAAGTGTGAAAACAGCTGGTCAGTTTCCTCAACAACCACTACAGGTGGATACAGAGTTAAACCTGAGGCAGAATGGGATGAAAACATTCCCAAAACTCAACAAAGACAACAAAGTTCTTTATTAAAAAAAAAAGTGATTCTTCTTAAAAGGATTGTCACTTACGGTCAATATAGGAGGTGAAGAGCATACGGAAGCGGCTTAGTCTGCTTTTCTCATCAGCCCACATTCGAACGACCCCCACGCCATTATCCAGCATCAAGTCGTTGGCCACAGTGCTACAGAACTTGGCCTTGAGGTTCTCAATGGCACTGCTACCATCGTACACGGCCACAAAGTTCTTCTTGCATTCATTCGAGTGTTCCATCTGGTAGTCTATGAAGCGCAGGTAGATCTGCAGACACATAGGAGATAGGCTAAGTTCAACCGTGCATGGTAGCCGAGTCCTTACCTCTGTTTACGGCCTGATGTTTGGATGAAATTCTAAAAGTGAGTACCGGTACAGTAGTCCCTCGCTACTTCGTGGTTCGACTTTCGCGGTTTTTCAATGATTGTACACTTTAGTATCATCTTTAATATTGTGAGTATACTCATGTGATTAGGATGGTATGGGATAAAAAGTTAACAAAAAAAAAAAAATGCTTCAGTTTTCTTTCAATAAGCCTATACTGTAATGCACGTCAAAAGAACTACACTACCCAGAAGCCAACAGTGCTCCCAGCTGCTGATTTCTGCCAAAATGGAGGGAACGTTTTGATCCGATCCGAATTTGACTAAAAAGTTTGGTCCTTTTTGGGCGGCTGTGGCTGAGTGGTTAGAGCATCGTCCTCCAATGCAAGAACTGGGGGGTTTGATTCCACCAGCAGTCACATGCTGAAGTGTCTCTGGGCAAGACACTGAACCCCACATAGCCTCCGATGTGTGTCCCATCGGTGTATGAATGTGATAAAGCTCTGATTAGTCTCTCTAGAATGTTTTGGTCATTAGCTTTGTATAGATCTAGTAGAGTGCTGTATGAAAGGGGTAAATGAGGCACAGATTGTAATGTAAAGCACTTTGAGTATCTTGATAAGACAGAAAGGTGCTTTATAAGTACAGTCCATTTACCATTTATTTAAAGTGACTTTGGCGCTCAGTGGATGCAGAGAGCTGTACGGAACAGGACCAAAACCGGACCAAGGCTACTTCCAGCCTCAGCGGTTAGTCTGAATTCTGCTCACCGGCGCAGGAAGCCTCTCAAAAAGAATCTTGGCGCTTAACGGCTGCGGAGAGCTGATCAGAACCGGACCAAGGCTGGTGAGTACCCATATAAAATATTGTACAGTACATATACGCATGTTGTTAAAATTATGTAGGTTTAAGAGTTTAGAACATTGCAAGGGTGTAAGAAGGGTTTACAAAGCCTTAAAATATGTATAAATAGTCAAATAAATATAGTGTTCCTACTTTGTGGTTTTTCACTTATCGCGGGGGTGTCTGGAACTAACCCCATGATAATCGAGGGACCATATGCGTTTTTGGCTCCCCCTGTCTATCCTTCTTTTCCCTGCAGATTCTGTGAGCAGTCAGAGCTGGTGAGCACAGCTACTGGCAACCACAGCTGATTACCATCCTTTTTAATGCTGAGTCATTCCACTGTTCTTCGTTGGACCATTAGTTACCAAATGGTGATTAACCTATTGTGCTCTTCATTATTATGGTGAATCCAACGTATCTTGTGCTCCACACAGATCCTTGTGTGTTCCTTGGATTATCTGTCTCCTCCTTACATCTTGTGACTCCTCGCATGCTGAAAGTCTGTCTCTACTGCAAGAAAGAGAAAAACCTGCCTTCATCTCCCGTCCTGCCTGCTCTCCATATACAGCCCCTGTCTGTCCTCACCCCTGGACATGCTCCTCTGAGCACAGAACCAAGTCCTAACAGTTGCCCTGGGATTCTGGAAAAGCAACACACAAAGTAAGAGACTCCTTTTTGTTCAAAGACAAATGAATCATTTGGAAAACTTGTACTCATCCCTCGCTGTCCTCCTCAGATCCTCCTGTCCCTGGCCCCTCTCCACCAGTATAAATAAATCCACTTGCCTTTTACCTCTACCTCCAGTCTGGTCCTTTTCAGTTGTCAGTACTCTTGGTTCTGGTTTAAAATTAGAACTAGCCAAAATTACACTGATAATTCTTCAGCTGAAGAAGAAGAAGGGCGACACAGGGAGATACTTTACTTCATTATCAACGCAATTTGCTTTTCTTCCCGTTTAAAGGGAGTCATTCCTTTCCACTGTCGCCATCATGCTGCTCAGGAAGGGGGAATGTGAACATTCAACACAATCTGTTGGCTTCCTTCGATAAATAATTTTTACTAATTGGCATTTCCTATTGTACTGAATGTGAATGTGTTGTATTAATTGTCATTAACTGTCAATGATCCAAAGTTTTCATTTGCTCTTGTTGCTTTCTGCAACTCAGGTGCAGAATTGCACTTCTGGAACAGGAGCGACGAACTGCAGTGCGTAACAAACTCAAGTATCCATCTCATCATGTTTATATTGATGCCATCTAATAAGATGTTATATGACCGTTAGCATCATATGTCGGTGTAATGTTTCAGTCAACCAGAACATGACAAATCTAAAAAGGCTTTTGAAGAAGGCAAGCCAAATTAACTTCTGTTCTGTAGCTGAAGACATGCTTTAATCTGCATGACTTTGATATTGATATCAATATTTAGATTGATCTGCACACCACCAATTTAATGAGGTAACGGTCAAATGAAATAAAGCACGACTGTTCAGACTGAGGTCGTTTTGGAAGAACAGACGTGTATCTAATTTAGTACCACATATAAAGTGGCCTGCATTAATTTAAAAATAAAAACCTAATATATCACATTCAGACTGTCATAAAAAAAATCTGATATGGGTTACATATGGGCAAACAAATTGGTTTTAAGTCATGTTTTCAGGCAGTGTGAATGGAGTCTAAGCGTCCCAACCTTCTTTTGTTGTTTTGTTCAGTTGAATGGCTGGCTGTATTTTTGGAACCAGAGTCTGCTCACTTGCATTTCATAGCGTAAAGTCCAAAACTACTAAATGCAACTAAACTTGGAAAACGCCTATTTAACTATAAGGTAAGAACTATGTGATTCAAGAGATATAGAAGTGTGTTTTGAATTATTTTACCAAGAGCTCAGTCTCGATTGTTTTTGTGGAGAGGCAGATCTTAAAACTTGTTCTGGGACCATTCTGTTAGGAAGCTGCAATGACTAGCTTCAACTTCCAGTTTGCTGTAAGAAGTCAAGTAATTTAATTAGTCTCTGGGCTAATCATACAAATGTATTACTTGGTTCATATTTTTTTTGCATTAGTAGATTTCTACAGAGCAGTAAAAGATAAAAATGTTCTGCAGTTTGGAGCCAACTTCTGTTTTGTTTAACACAACACCTTTAAAAAGAGCCCCAAAACCTATTTTATCAAAAGAGCTGCATTTCTGTAGTGTGATTATATATATATAAAAAAAATACTTTTATCATCTCAGATTACACTGCAGGTCAGCTTTAAGGATTATTGACCCCTGAGACAGACAACCTCTGGAGGTTAAAGGCATGTTGTACACATTGTTAATGCTGAAATCCATTTTTAGGGTTTGTTTGTTGAAGTGTAATGCAAACAGGAAATGAACAGCCTTTATTTATTAAATATGAGGGTAAGTATGCATGGCTTTCATTTTCACAGTTCATCAGAAGTATGGGTCAGGCTGAATAAATGCAAAGTGATTTAATCAGTTTTATTGATCAGGATGCTGCTGTGTGCTGACAACAGATGCCATCCAGCCCCCCAGGCTCAAATGAAGCTCGGTGTTCCACAGTGAGACAGCAACACTCCTGCCACAGCATTGAGAACATTCAGTGAATTACCCCGAATAACAAAACCAACACCCAGCACTTTAAACGGGGCGCACCTTTCTGATGAAAGAGGGGGAGATTGATCTTCCATGACATTTTGTCTTGATGAGACGATGAAAAATGGCCCTGGCTGGTGACATGTCAATATCAAGGGTGGGAAATGCACCGACAGTCCCAGGTTCTTATTTAATCCAGTTTCCTTTAAGATGATAGCTCTTGTTACATTTTCACTGGCTGTCTGTCAGCCTGACATGGCAATATTACCCCTCTCCTCACTTTCCTGCTGGGTTTCATTTATTTTAAAACACCATTTCACACACGGCTGACTTTAACAAGGCATTATACAGCACTGAGGGAAGGACTGGGAGATAGAGCTGTGACAGATACAACATTTTTTACACCAGAACTACAGAACACTGTAAACAGGAGAGTGTTCAAATGGGACAGAGTCTGGAAAGGAGAGCTGCTTGTCTTTGTGGACATTAGTCTTTGGGTTTCTTCATCTTCAGCTGTCAGAACTTCATTTATTTAGGCTGCGTAAGCAATAACGGCAGGCATTAAAACTTTATTTATTCAAATAAAACGCTAATTTATAAACTAGGAAAGGAAACCTATAGGTGACTGAGACATGGTAAAAGAAGATAAAAATGCTGAAATTTTGATCTATAATTTGTTTAAATCCCAAAAGGAGCTGAGGTAAAAAGAATAGTATGTGTACAATTTTTTTAATCTTAAAGGTGTGTGTCACTGTTTTTTGTTTCTCAAGTTTCTGGATTCTTGAATAATCTCAAACAATTACAGAAATGCTTAT